GATGAAGATTTAAGTCGATGTCTTTCGAAGGTGGTTCGTATTATGTTCTGGATGAAGGATAGAGGATAACCGTTGGAAACACCTAATTGATGAATAAATAAGAATTCTTTGTGTAGATCGAAATAATTAGATGAAATCCGTATGGCTCTATAGACCATGCTAGAGATAACACTTTTTTTGTATTCATATGGTACAAAAGATTTCCAGTTTAGAAGTAAGCCGGTGAAGGTGGGATTTCTGTAAATAGATGTGGTGAACCAGAATAGATCATATTGTGGGAGGCGACGGATGAGGATATCAAGGAATGGCAAAGACTTGTCTTTCTCAGGTTCTGCTGTGAATTGTATCGAAGTATGGAAGGAGTTCAATATATTTCGTAGTTGGTCGACATTAGATTCTTCTTTAACAATAGCAAATATATCATCTACGTATCTTTTGTAGAATACGAGACCGTTTTCTTTTAGTTTTTCCATTATTTCATTTTCTAGATGTGTTAAAAAAATATCTGCAAGTAGAGGTCCGAGTGGTGATCCCACACTAACGCCGTTGCATTGGGAATATATTTTTCCGTTTAAATGGAAGTGAGTTTTTGATGTGGCAGTCTCCAGCAATCAATGCATATTTTCTTTGTTTGAGCAGACCTGGCATTTTTCAGTTTTATTTTTGTTTTTTCATTTTTCAGGAGGAATGCAGCTGCAAGGATCAGTGTAGAGTTTGTTTAAGATGATTTGGATCGTTTCTGTCAGAGGAATGTTGGGTGTGGGTGTGGATGTTGTTTTCTTTTAAGTCACATCCCACACCCACACCCCGCAGATTTACTATTATGATGAAACTTGGTCTAACGCTGGTGACAAAAAGCGCTGGGGTGTGGATGTAGGTATATCTTTCTGTTCATCCACGCCCACACCTACACCTCACGCCCACATCCACAGTCCACACTCACACCCACTTACACCGATACACACATAAGACTTGCAATCATTCTTCTGCAGCCGTAACTCCATTCACGGCCTGTTATGTAGTTTTTTACTTTTTCTTTTGTGTTTTTTTGGTAAACATTATTAAATCTAATATTTCTAGTGAATCACTTCAATTTATTGTTTGTTTTTCGACTCGGAAGAAAAAAAAATTACATATTCATACCTTTTGTTTGACTTCATTTTCTTTTGTTCGGCAATAGCAACGAAAAGTGAGTAGTAAAAAAAAGACAGATTTTTATTCATTATTGGTATATATCGTAGTCTAATTTATTTCGATTCCCATCATCCATTAAAAACACATTGGTTATGATGTGACAGAAAAATGCGTGTCAACGTAGCTTCTGTAAGGCCAAGATATGGAACATATATTGTATTTCGGTCTCAAAAAACCGATTAAAATTTGTAAAACGAAAAATGTCTTGAGGACTATACTTGTTTTTCGAAATTCATAGATAATATGAGCAAAACTCTGATTTATTTATTTCTATCCTTTCAAAAGAGATTTGTTATGTTTTCGGGCGCCTTTTCTCTTTCACATTTTCATTATTTTTTATGTTGTTTATTTTAGTGTTTTTATGACTCAATATAATATTTTCTTTTTCTAATCGGTAATTGATTATTTATGTATGTCATGGAAGGTACGTCTGTAACTAGGATAGGGGAACCGCAAAAACCCAACTTTAAACTTATACCGACTGTTTTGTGGAACTCACGTATATTTTCCCACATATAGTGAGTGTAAGCTTCAAGTTTAAGTATTTTCGACTTTCTCATCCTCTTCCCATGATAGATCCCAACAACTACGAACAAAAAATTTATATTTAACAAAAAAAAGATATGAGTTACATAGTACGAACAAAATGAACTCGATTGCTATATAATATTTCAATGCTTTCATAGTTATTTAAAAAAAATAACTATTATATATTTGTAAAAGCTCTTCGTAGTGTAACCATTAACTTTTGTTCAAATCCGATTTGTACTTTAAAATCAAGAATGTGTATTAGTAAAATATATTTTTCTGTCATAGTAATCATATAATTAATATGAGAAACATAATTTGACCTATTTTTCAGTGTGAAAAGTAAACAATATCACGATTATGGATTAATTGAGACATGTAACAATGTGGTAAGAAATGTCCGTACATATAAAAATAATTCTAAATTAAGAAAAATAAAAGTGATTCCTATTGAGTATATAACAGAGCCCCGCATGGGCTGGGCCAAACCCAGCCCATGAGCCGATTTTTTTAAAATATAAAACCATGGACTGGTTTGGGCTTTTCAGATTTTGCATGGGTACTCATGCGTGAAATTTTTCAACAAAGTATTTTAAAAGTTTCAGGTTCTTCCAACTTTTTCGCTTAGTTCTTTTTTTGAAATTTGCTAGTTCAATCATTTAAAATTTTCTAACATCTGTAAAGAGAACAATAAATAAATGTACAGTACTGAAGAAATGAAACATTTGTAATATTTAGTACTTGCTTTATGACAGTAACTTCTGCATTATGAATCATTTTTCATTTCTACTGCTATTGTTATTTTTTATTAACTGACTTCTGTCCTCATCTACTCTTCTACTTTTATTGGTTCTTTTTTGAACATAGAATGGTATTCATTGTAATCAATCTTGGTTACTTTCAATAGCAGCTATAAAGACAGCTCGCACTTCGTCAAAAATACTTTTAATTAATCTTATGGATAAATGTTGGAGAATTTATATGGTTGCTCAACACGAAATTAATAGCATGAACCACTAATAATATAATATAAGAAGTACAATAATTTATTTTTAAAGTGGGAAAATATTAACTAGTTTCAGTTTCTAGACGATATATAATTTCTTCACATTGAAAAATTTACAGTACTATATGTTAATCTTGAAAAGTGAAAGATTTCTCTATTTCCAAACTTTAGAAACAAATCTTCACACGGAAGAAGTAGGGATTAAATCTTTTGATATTCGTTCATGACTTGCAGTTGTTAATTTGATTATGAGGTTTCAATGTATTTTTCATAGTTCCTCGTGTTTGGACAGTGCATTCTCTCTTTGCTTCCTTCTGGCCGGCAAATCACAGAAGATTTTAGCTATTTTGTTATCATATCAAAATCTTCAACTTAAGCTTAATTAGCGAAATTCATTTGAGCAAAATTAAATAATCTCAATTTCAGCAGACAATAGAAAGTGTTTTCGATTTCAATATAAAAACAGATTATATTTACTAAAAGAGTTTAATGAGATACACAACCCATGGGTCATCCATGAGCTGGGCTGGACCGGTTTTTCAGTAAAAACCATGAGTGGCCTGGGCCGAAGATTGAAGAACCCATGGATTGAATTTCTTAGCCCCAGCTCAGCCCATGCGCAGCTCTGGTATATAACCACGATTATAGATGAAATTGGCTGCGTTCAAATGAAACAGGCATCTTCTATTTTCAACATAGAAATCATTAAGAGATTTTAGCCCTTGTGATAGGTTGACAATTTCTACTCGTTCAAGTGCAACGAAAAAAGCCAGATTGTTCACTGTGGCAAATACAGCGATCACAGTCGATGAGTTTATGAACTCGTGTTATTATTTGTGTCATCTGTACCAGAGACGTCAATCTTGAATTTCAATAATATACGTCATGTATGGATGTTCAAGATGTACGTAGATTGAAGGAATGTTTTAGCAAGGGGGAAACAGAGAGACTTCGCTATACTCCACCCGTACCCCAGCTATACTCTACCTCTATTCTAATGAAAAGTTGGAGTAGAGGTGAAGTACAGATGGAGTACGCACTCTTGAAATCTTGCTTTTTTTCCCTTGATTAAATTTCTTACGGAATGAGGCTGTCTTATGAAGTTTTTACATTGCCGTAATATTCTTACTGCTAGCATGAATAAAGATGAATATTCGAAAGTAGCTCCTAAGCTCATTCTTACCTGCCAAAATCGAAAAAAAGAATTTTGTACGAAGAAGCTGGAGATATTATCACGGGAGATGCCAGATATTTCTTAGAAAAGTAATGGAGAAATCATATCTCACAGATAGTAAATATTGGATGTTGTTGATATATTCAACTTCTGCAAAGACTTTTCAGCTTTTTCAATATCTTGGATAAGTAACGGGATGCGCTACCTGGAAGATTTTCTTGTTGAATGAGCTTTTAGAATTTTGAGCGGGGCATCTAGTAGACCGGATTCTAGTTCTATTCAGGTGAATCTAAACAAAACTTTGATTTTCATCCTGCTAAACGGGGTTTTATCTGACATAATTAAATTCAATGGATCTATGTTGAAGGATAGTGGTCACTTTTTTTGCAGTTCTTAATCAGTATCACATATGCAAAAAGAAATAAATCAATCATCGTGTCAGAACGAAGAATTTTCTTATTCAACCGATTTGACCTTCTGATATTTTGTTGAGTATTGAATTTTCTTAAACGCGTTATATAAAGTACTTTCTTCCTCTTTTTCTGAAGTCTATTGTTCTTGCGCATCATATACTTGTTGCGATTATCTGCTCGCACCTAACTGTAGCTTGAGTAATGAAGTTTACGTTAACTGAAAAAAAGTCATAATTTTGATTGTTCGCGCATCTAGAATTTTCATAGTCAACCAGTAGTTCCTGTTCATAATACCCAAGCAGGTACCAATCGTTGATGACTCTTAAGCTCATAGGATATTCAAGATTGAACACAACTTGAAACGTATTGAACCATGAACATAGTAGTTTTGTATGATTTTACATCTAAAAATGTCAGCAAAGGAAAAAATAACACGAACCATGATTTCGATCTGATTGTTCGTCTAATAGATTTTACATGGGCTACATAACATCAAGTATGTGAATCAATAAGAATTTAATACATTGAATCTACCGAAATATTTTCAAAAAATGATATAAATCACGTTGAAAACTTTCTATGCAGGAAATTAGTTGCATTGTAATAGGAAGTTAAAATTGAAGACAAAAATTCGTTGTTTTTTTTAGCGATAATCTCATGAAATATTTTTAGATCTTCCAAAGATATGGCAGTCTCGAAGGAACGTTCGTCATTTCGTCGAAAATTAGCACTGATTATTGGCAACGACAACTACAAAAAACCATATAACAAATTAAATTATTCATTAAAAAATGTTAAAGATCTGAGTAATTTACTCAAAGTCATCAATTTCAAAGTGACGAAATTGTGTGACTCAAATAAGAATGAACTAATTACGAGTATCATTGATTTTTCCAACACTATTAGAGATGGAGACTTGGTCTTCCTTTACTATAGTGGACATGCTTGTCATGTTCATAAGAAAAACTATTTCATACCTATCGACGATGATAAAATAGAAAAGGATACAGATTTTGAAGATTTCACAGTCAACATTGAAAAAACACTTGCTCGACTAGTAGACAAAAATCCATCATATTTGACTTTATTTATTTTGGATTGCTGTAATCCATACTTGATTAAAAATGCAACAAACTCTAATAGTAAATATAACTACTAATAATTTTTCTTTTTAAACAATCTTATTGCTTTAGATGCTATCGAAAGCACTGCGCTTTCTGAAATTAGACCACCTGTTGGAGCATTCATTCAATATGCTTGTGCAGTCAATCAGACAGTCAAAGATGTCATGAAAACTGATCATAACAGTTTGTTTACCAAACATTTACTGAAAAATCTAGCTCAAGTAAATGTCGATTTCACGGAGATTTTTCGAGACATAACCAATGCCGTCCAGAAGGAAAGCAATCATCAACAAATGCCATTTTCTGTAAATCAATTTCAGAGAAGTGGATCAGTCTATCTCAATGAAGTAATCATGCGTGCAAAACGTGAGTTGAATGGAGTTTGTCTCAGCTATTTAACTTCGACCTACTGAATACCAAACTTTTGCAAACACACACTTCAAATAAGTGGAAAAGCTCTCGGTCTGTCGGTGATGAAGTTGTTTCTTCATGTGTAGATAACACTACGTTATTTAAGTAGATACCAATTAAACTTTACTATTAAGAGCTGTCATAGTGAGAAAGCCATTCTTTTTTATGATTTTCGGTACTAGAAAATGGTCATTGCAGCATTAGTATCTCGATTTAATGCAAAGACTGCAATTACAAATACGCTAAACAAGAAACATTTTTTGTAGTGAAAGTTATTCTTCAATCTTTTCCCTTCGTCAACTATATATAATTAATCTCAGGATATGGATACCAACTATTTTATCTGCTTCAACTAAAAGTCAATTTATCGTAGGTAAAAGAATGGGAGCATAGGTTAAAGTGTTGCTTTAGCTATGTAAACATACTAGTTGAAATCGCTGTAATTTAGAACATCTTGAACATGTTTAAGATTCCAACAGTCCAATGAATGACAGCCTATTAAAATATATCAGTACTTTGACCTTTCACGATAATTATTTGCATAACTCAAATAAATGACACGTACGTGTTGCATTGGTATCCTTTAGTGTTTGGAATGAAAAGAAAGTTTGTGACAAGTTTCTTTTTGCGAACTTTTTACTGACTTTTAGAAAGTAATAATAGATTAAAGATTAAACGAACTAAGTTTTTCTTCAAACTTTAGAAAATTCCTGATTTGTCTACCTATCATAAACTTCGAAGAAATGAAACATTTATTACTGACCAACACATATTAGATACGTTGAAGTCAAAGCTAAAGTAGAACTTGAATTAGTTTCATACTTACCTGTTGGTATTTTGAGTTTGAATGTCTGCTTTGTTTTAGCTGAACCTCAACCTGATCAGTTGTTAGATGAACCATGGAATGAAAAAAAAGAAGGCAACCTTGAATCAATAAAAAAAAAACATGCACAGGTAAAAGCGTACTATGATAATTTTCCAAGCATTAAAAATGTTATCGATGATGCCAAGGCAGAAGTTCAAGAAGCCAAAACATTTACCGATTCGATTCTTAAAAATTTACCTTCTGGAAATGTTACTGAAAGAGATACTGCGTGCCATGTATTGAAGAATTTACTTAAAACTCACAATATAGAGTGTCTGTT